TATGACGTCAATGGCATAATTCTCCACGTGGTTGCTATAGTAAATACAAACACAGTACAGTAGTGTATATATATCAATACCTATTATACATGTCTAAGCTATTCACAGTGTTTTAATATATATATATATATACTGACATTCGAGAGATGGGGTTTAAAGTCCTACTGTTCTGCTTCGACTGGGATTATTAAGACGGGCTTATACCATACAGAAATGAAATGAAATGAAATGAAATGAAATGAAATGGGGTTTAACGATCTACTGTTCTGCTCCGAACTGGGCTAATGAATACGAGCATACGCCATACGGTGCGAAATTTTGCCCGGACAGCGGCGCTACGGCCTACTCTGATATCAAATTCCAACTGTCAAGGGATCGTTTACGTGTACGCCAATGTGTACACGGGGACTCGGTTTTTCGTCCCATCCGAACGACTAGACAGCTGTCTTTGTCAGTATATCGGGCTTGTGATCGAAACCACGCTGCTTGACTCAATGACAGAGCTTATGATCTAAAGTGCACGCGTCTGATCACTTGACCTCCCAAATCCACAGCATTCAAAATACCACCCTACCACCCCTTACTAGTGTATGAAACCCTCAATATATAATTTCTACCCGACAATACCTATAGTACCTAGGTCATACTAGAACAGGGACGAATTTTTTTATTTCCATAATTCGCAGACGGAGTACCCAGCGAAAACCCAAAAGGTTAGACAGGCGGCCCCCTCCACCCCCCCCCCCCCCCACCACCCGTGACATCACGTGTATACATACCAAGTCTATGATTTACAGCGTAGAATTCGGTCAACCACCTGCCCTATTTACAATGATGTGAGTGAACACGATTACATGAATGAAATGGGGTTTAACGTCCCACTGTTCTGCTCCGGCTAATGAAGACGAGCATACTTCATACAGTGTGTTATGAGGGAATTTTGCCCGGACAGTGGCGTACACCTTCTTAATTTCGTCGAACAGCCAAGGATTCTTTCACATGCAAGGGAGCCACAGTGGCTCAGTGCGTAAGACGTTGGCTCGCTAGCCGAGAATGTTCATATAGGATTTTCTGGTGTGGTTCCATCCTTGACAGTGGTGCAGGACCGAATGTATAGTCGTTCGGATGAGACGAAAAAGATTCCTGGGCTTTTGGAATTCGATATAAGAGTAGGCCGTAGCGCCTTTGTCCGGGCAAAATTTCCCTCATAGCACACTGTACGTGCCCAGTCCTAGTAGAATAGTAGGACGTTAAACCCTATTTAATTTCATTTCATTTCATTTCTGTATGGTATATGCCCGTCTTCATTAGGGGGGGTTGGATGGCCGAATGGTTAGCAAGTGCTGAGTCAACTGGCGTGGTTTCGAATCCCCGTTTGTACGTGACAAGGAGTATGGTCGCCTGTCCAACTTCGTGGGTTTTCTCCGGGTCCTCCGGTTTCCTCCCACTGCTAAAGACCCCTTCGCGCAAGCGAATTATTGAAATAAAAAATTAAATCATACAGGTATGTTAGTCCCGAAATGACCTAGTTTGTGTCGATTGGACGTTAAACCCTATTTCTCTCTCTCTCTCCCTCTCTCTTCATTAGCCCAGTCGGAGCAGAACAGTAGGACGTTAAACCCCATTTCATTTCATTTCTTTCACATGTACACGTAATTTCACCCTATTTAAACTAATCCAGTTTTTAGACAGTAAGGTTAAGATTGTTTATATTTGAAATTTGTATGATGGAGTTATATAATATATAAAGCTAATGATATTGGACTAGCTTTTAGACAGTAGGTTACAATAATATTTGTATGGTAGCTCGATGAGCGATCAGATCAACTTTAGGTATTTTTTGTCGTCAGTAGTAACGCTGACAAAACATGAATGAAATGGGGTCTAACGTCCTACTACGACTTGGCTAATGAAGACGAGCATACTCCATACAGTGTTATGAGGGAAATGTTGCCCGGGCAGCGGCTTTATGGCCTCCTCTTATATCGAATTCCATCTGTCATTTTGCCCGAAAAGCGGCGCTACGACCTACTGCCAAGAGACCTTTTCCCTGCACGCCACTGTTTTCGTCCCACCTAAACGAATATACCTACACCACTGCCCTACACCACTGACAGATGGTGGTGGCCGGTGGGGGGACACGCCGGAAAATGACAATGAACTTTATCGGCGAATACCTGGGTCGAACACGTGACCTCCAGGTTCGCCGGCCAGTGCCCTGCCCACTGAGAAACCGCGGCTCCCTCCTTTGGAACGATCAGCCATAATAAAAAATATAAAGGCTGCCTTTACTACAGCACACACATGCTAACCATTCGGCCACCCGACCCCTACCAATATAACATGAATTGGGGTTCAACCCCCTACCTCTCTCAGGAGACATTTTGCCTAGACAGTGGAATATTCATCTACTTTTCATTGAATTCCTTATGTAAAGGGTGCTCTTACGTTCAAACCAACGCATGCATGGGGAATCCTCGGTTTTTCGTACCATCCGAACAAATAGAGGCTTTAAACTTGACGGACCCTCTGTTCTGCCCCACGTACAACCTCGAGGAAGCGTCTATGTCAACGCCGGGATTGAACTCGGAACGTCCTGGGCAAAAAATATATAAATGTTGATTACTGTACTATTTATACTCGAGTTGACCTCGGGTTTTTCGTCCCATATGAACGACTAGACGCGTTTTGCTTGACAGACCCTCTGTTTTAATCCCAAGGAAATTATCTCGGCCAACGTCGGGATTGAACCCGGAGCGTCCTTGTCGATGAGCCAGCGCCATACAGGTGATCACTGTGCTATTTACCTTATATTTTACCTGTAATCAGTGTCGATCAGGTGTATACATGTCTGAATACACACGGTTATCTTGGTGGGTTACCTTGACACCGTTAGAGGATAACCAGTGCATTTGTCATTAGCTAATTAAAGACGCCCAGTCTTCATATAAACATACACAATAATATAGCAATACAAAAGTACAGATGCTCTAGAAAGGGTTTCCCCTATCAGTGTAGAACAGCGAACAGTCACGAGGGGAAACATGGCGTCTCCGTTTAAACGTTGGCGTGCACGTAAAGGGTTTCCCCCTATCAGCGTAAGTCAGCGTCTAGTCTTTAGGATGAGAGGAAACACGGATTCCTCGTTTACACGTTGCCGTGCACGTAAAGGGTTTCACCTAGCAGTGTAGGACAGCGTCTAGTCATAGGGATGAGAGGAAACACGGATTCCTCGTTTACACGTTGGTGTGCATGTAAAGGGTTCCCCCTATCAGTGTAAGTCAGCGTCTAGTTATAGAAATGATAGGAAACACGGAGTCCTCGTTTAAACGTTGGCGTGCACGTAAAGGGTTTCCCCCTATCAGTGTAGGACAGCGTCTAGTCATAGGGATGAGAGGAAACACGGAGTCCTCGTTTACACGTTGGCGTGCACGTAAAGGGTTCCCCCTATCAGTGTAAGACAGCGTCTAGTTATTGGGATGATAGGAAACACGGAGTCCTCGTTTACACGTTGGCGTGAACGTAAAGGAACCCTTGTTAGTTAGAATTCAATTAGAGTCACGGCAAAATGTCCCTCATAGCACCCTACATGGCGTATATGCCCGTCTTCAATAGCCCGGTATGTGTAGAAAAGCGGAGCATTAAGCCCATTCCATTCATTCTAAATAGGGTAAGCTCATTTTGTATTGTACACGACACGCTGCACTACTTACAGCTAAATAAGGAATGGGGACACGGACCAATAGTTTAAATAGGCGAGATATAAACACGAAATGAAATGGGGCGTAACGTCCTATCTGCTAAAGAAGAAGTGTTCAGTCATACGATGTGAGCGAGCCTTTGAGGGGCATTTTTTCTCGACAACCGGGTTTTCGACAACTCGTCGCCAAATTCAAGCTTTCGAAATTTCTTTTACAAAACTGGTATCGTCCTACTAAATAGCTAAAAGGCTTGATTATTAACCTTTCAATTCATTTGTTTTAAATTTTTGGCTGGCATCCAATTATCCAGTGTATTCTTGATAATGCAAACGTAGCAAAAATAACACGTGGTCCCCAATTGTGCACGTAAAAGAACCACAGAGAGGAGGCTATAGTGCCGTTGTCCCTTACAGCACACTGTATGGCGTTTTCATTAACCCTGTCGGAGTGGAACAATAGGACGTTAAACCCCATTCCACAATGATAACAAATCCAAATTGGAATAAAGTACAGCAATCATCGATGAAAATTATTTTTTTAATCTAAATTGTTGTCCACCATTTTGGACGTTCTTCATACGTCGATAAAAATAATTAATATCAGTGTCCACCCTTTGGATACTCTTCAAACATTGTATTTTGTTGTTCTCCATTTTCGTCGTTGTGGGGTTAAACATGCTATCTTCTGCATTATGTTCCTTGATTTTAAACATTTTTTTTTTCTTACTCTTAACTGACAATTTTCGACGCGAATTTTAATTAAATGATTATTGCCAAACTTAAAATAAGTGAAGATTCTATAATGTGCTTTACGTAATATAAGCCAAAACGTATCTTATCGTTTAACGTTATTAAATCAATATTTCCTGAATCATACTTGTCTAAATATTAAATAAAAATTCATCTATATATCCGTATTTTGGCTAAATCTGCCTTAATCTCTGTATGTCGAGAAAATACTATTTTATTAGCTAATTCCGCTAATCTAAACCCACTAATCGGGTACAACAAACAAGGCGGTTTTACGCCGTTATAATATTTAGACAAATATTTCGAAGCTAAATTTTTCAGGAAATATAACTAAAAACAATTAACCGATCAGATCGAAAATTTCCTTTATAAGAGAAAAAAAAATAAAAAATTGTGCACATTTTGAGAATATAATTTTATGTTCCATCATGACTAAATCGCCAAAATATATTCATTACTATATTTATCAGAAGATAAAGACAAATCTTTTCTCTTTGTAAATTTAAATTGCCAGTTTTGTAAAATAAAAATATAGCAATCAAAGACATACCCAGATCCATTATTACTGTTGGCGATCTCGTCTTTTCTTCTTCAGAGCTTGATCGTCGAGGACTGTAAAATATAATCGTCTAGTTCCTAGTTTACTTTTTCAGTTTCTTCTTCCGTTCATCGTCTAGTTGCAGGACTTTGCGTTGATCTTTGACCCATCTAAGGTTCGACTGGTCACGAACACCACTTATGAGTATGTAACATAATACATAAACTCATTTTATTAGAAATATACTTTAATGCTGGATAACATATTTACAGGTACAGATAATGCTGGATAACATATTTACAGGTACATATGGTGAAATCTATCTGGCTCTTGTTCCTCAGGTCTGCGAAAACCTTATTTCCGGGGTCCAAGGGCAGACCCCTTGCCTCGTGGTCTGAGGGCAAGTACTCTACGTCTCTCTCTGCCCTCGTCTTCTCTTGTTTTCCAAACTAGGCTTATTTATATCGGCTATGGTATGCCATAGTTAATACCATTAGTAATCAGAACAATGAGACTTAATTATTAAGATTCACACATCCTATCTCTAGACAATATGTGTTAATGCTTGTTACCTAAATCTTATATCATAATATATTTGTCGGCTAAACATTGTTTGAACAACCCATCACATCTTACATAATACTATGTCATCAATCCCCACACATACAAATTAAATCTAACATGTACATGTACAACAAATATTGCAAGTGCTTACATTGAATATGTAAAATAAACCATTATCAAAATACCCAACAGTATTTTGTAACAGCTGTAATTTTTCATCACTTTATATTTATGAGTCCATTCATTCTCTCTTATTTTGTAACGACATAAATTATGTACACCGATGACTATACACTCTGTGTGACCGTGAATTATAATGGGGTTTAACGTCCTACTGTTTTGCTCCGACTCGGCTTATGAAGACGAGCATACACCATGCAGTGTGCTATAAGGGACAGTGACGCTATGGCCTACTCTTATATCGAATTTCAACTGCCAAGGAACCTTTTACGCGCCACTGTGTACACGGGACCTCAGTTTTTGTCCCATCCGAACGACTAGACAGCTGTTCTTGCCAGGCCCTCAGTTCTGCACCACTGACAGGAGGTTTCGACATAAGAATATCGTTCTAATCACATAGATTTTATACTTACAAACATGACCGTTCTAAAAAATTGTTAGGGTTTGCAAATTGTAACGAGATTTTGATCAATATGTTCAAGACGAAAACATTAGCTATACAGTGCCAGTTATTATCGCCCACTAACAACTGTGACATTATCGGTTAATATGAAAGACGGCCTTGAGAAACCATGTTAAATCTATTGTGAAATAATATATATATATTAGGTGAAGGGGTGCATTTTATCGTATAATATATTAATATATCATTATTTATTACCCAGAAATATTGGATCGAGAGAATTGTAGGGGATCAGACAAACAATCATATAAATTATAATACAAATTCTGATTAAATGGTTGGGTGGCCGAATTGTTCACCTGTACGCGTTGGATCATATGGAATGTCATTGAGTCAAGTGGCTTGGCTTCCGTTCCTCGCTTGTACGTGACAAGGAGTAGGTTCGCCCGTCAAACCTCGTGGGTTTTCTCCGATTTCCTCTCACTGTTAAAGTCTTCCACGCGCAAGCGAATTGGTGAAATAAAACTAAACCGTATGTTAGTCCCGAAATGACCCGAGGGAGCGGTTATACCCATACATCGCTTGAGTGTAAAGGTCTTTAGTCGGACCCAGAGAAAGGCCCACGAGGTTAGGCAGGCGACCCTACACCTCGTTATGTTCAGCCCCCTAATGTATTCTCAGAAGATAACAGTTATAAATTACTGTAACCTAGATACGTCTTGGCAGATTTCTTCTTGAAACCATTCCAAAAAACCTGAATATTTAACGAGTTTATTTATATGAGTATTGTCTCTATAACTTCCGGTCGTTGAACCAATAGTTTATACTCATTATCCAGTCTTAGGAATATGAAACGAAATGAAATGGAGTTTAATGGCCTACTGTTCTACTCCGACAGGGCTAATGAGGCCGGGCATACGCCATACAGTATTCTACCAGGGAAATTGTGCCCGGACAGCGGCACTATACGACCTACTCTTATATCGAATTCCAATCGTCAAGGATTCTTTACGTGTACACTTAACTTCGGTTATTCGTTCAAATCCGAACGACTGGACGATCAATCTGGTTAAAACACAGATCCTATTTCGTTTCGTTTTTATAGTTCAAAATTTCGTTTTACTTGTCTTTACTACACTTGGATCTGGAAGCGTTGTTATTTAACTCGTGTTCTGAATGGTGTCAGGGATAAGCCAATGAAACGGTCTGTTACGGCGAGCTTTAGGCGTGTTTTGCACGGAACTGTGGGTAATCCACTAGTAACATCAATGCTGATTGGTTAATCAAATGTCTCACGTCATAGGGCCATAAGTGGGTCTTTTGACCCCTGACGTGACCTATGGCTATAACTTGTCAGATCTTCATGTAGTGTAGGCCATCGAAAGTATAAAAAAACGAAACGAAATATAGATCTGTATTTTAATCAGATTGACTGGACGATGTTACTGGCCAAGTCCTCCGTCCTGTATCACTGACAAGGCGGGAACCACACACGGTTGTACGGGACAAGGAGTAGGATCACCTGTCCAACCTCGTAGGTTTTTTCCGGGTCTTCCGGTTTCCTCTCACTGCTAAAGATCCCTACGCGGAAGCGAATTATTGAAATAAAATTGAACCATGTGTTAGTCCCGAAATGACCTAGTTTGTTAAACGCCATCTCTCTCTCTCTCTCTCTCTCTCTTAGTACACTACATGGCGTATACGTGTTTTATTTGAACAGTAGGATGAAAATCCCCAACCCATTTTATTTATTGATATCAGTTTATTATCGGAGAAAGAAAACTTGGTAGAAATAAACTTGTATGTATTTCTCCCATCCCGTGTTTATTTGTAATCTTAAGAGGATGTCACTTGTTCGACTTCAACTATTAAAAGGATACACATTCTTTACATAAGGAACTGAACGAGTATTTTCCCACAACTATCTAATAGATTTAAAAACCTTCAACACATTTTTGTGGTTTCTTTTCGAAAACATTTGTTCATCTTTAAATGAGTAAAACATACGTGAAAGGGGTAAAAAGATTAATTGAGTTTCCTGATCCCATCCCAGTCAAATGTAAAAGGATGAAAATTCGGTTCGACATTTATTACATTCATATCATTAGTTTTAGAGACATTTCGGGGTTTTATCAAAATGTCATTAATTCGTGGTACAGGAAGTGGCAGACATGGGGTCAAACCTCGACATTTGCATCGATGACAGACTATAAGCGCACTTGTTAGACTTGTGATCACACAAATCCCCCTAGTTTAAACACAGGCCCGACCGCGAGTACGTCTTTCTATAGGTTGTTACATACCGCAAGTAACTATTCGGTTAGGCACAATGAGATAACTGCCCAACCTCGTGGAGTTTTCTCCGGGTCCTCCGGTTTCCTCCCACTGCTAAAGACCCCTATGCGCAAGCGAATTATAGAAATAAAATTGAACCATATGTTAGTCCCGAAATGACCTAGTTTGTGTCGAGTGGATGTTAAACCCCCATCTCTCTCTCTCTCTCTCTCTCTCACACACACAATGAAGTAACTGTAAGAAACCCGATTTTAACATAGAAGAGAGACTTCTAACAGGTAGACATCGCTGCTATGCTCTATATCAGGAGAGTCATACTCATTTCGGTTCAAGGTCACATGAACTAAAATTTTACATCAAGTGGATCGGAGATATACAGAAATATCAAGATAAAACAAACGTCCTTGAACTTTATTGAATTCTAAAAACAAAGCCAAACATCCTTGACAAGGGTAATTTTTTAGACTGGTTTTCAAATTGCCAAGATATAATATTGAACGTTCTCTTGTATTACATACAACTTAGATATCTATGACATACAGTACGGATGTCAGAGTTTTACTGAAACCGGGAAACAATAATAAATGATTTCTAAGAATTATCGACACGTCAGTTTGTGTAACATCAATCAGATTAAAACACAGATCCTATTTCGTTTCGTTTTATAGTTCAAAATTTCGTTTAACTTGTCTTTACTACACTAGGATCTGGAAGAGTTGTTATCATTGACGTGTTCTGGATGAAGTGAGGTCTGTTACGGCGAACTTTAGGCGTGTTTTGCACGAACTGTGGGCAATCCACTAGTAACATCAATGCTGTATTCTTTGAATGGCATTTAGTAATTGGAACATAATCGAATAACACACTATTTATGGATAATGATTACTATGGTTTATTTCACTGCGACGTTTCAACCAGATTTCACAAGCCGTTTTCCACAAATCTTGTTGAAACGTCGCAGTGAAATAAACCATAGTAATTGTTACCCATAAATTGTGTGTTATTCGAACATCAATGCTGATTGGTTAACCAAATGTCTAACGTCATAGGGTCAAAAGTCGCTCGTATGACCTCTAACGCGACCTATCGCTACAACCGGTCAGATCTTCATGTAGTGTAGCCCATCAAAAGTATACAAAAAAAAGAAACGAAACGAAATATAGATCTGTATTTTAATCAGATTAGGGTCACATTTAAACCCTTGAGCGAGCCACGGGTTTAACACCCCTTTTTGATACTGATCGTAGGGTTAAGATCCCCATCCCACTTCCGTTGTATCTAGGGTACTTAAAAAACGAGTGGATATATTTTTTCTCACATCCCTTACTTGTGTCCCTTGTCCATCAATTCACTTATATCAGTTAAAACAACCGGTTGCCTTGAAAGAATTGGATGGGGAAGAGATAAAATCAATAGTTTCATCTGAATGGGACAACAATTGTAGCCCTTCTGGAGGACCTAAAAACTTCATACATATTTCACATTTTGTGTAAAAGGTAGGGGACGGTGTGCACTAAAACAGGTCTCATCCAAAAACTCATGATACTTGTTTTAAGTTTCATTTAAATCGGATAAAAATGTGACCTTTATAGAAGGTCCATAGCCTTGGTATTACACCATATGCTTAAAGGGGGGCGACCAATTTGACGGGCAGTTTCGGTCCGGAAGCTAAAAACGTGATTTTTCGCACAATCCAGAAAGTTACGGTTATAAACATACATTAAGTTTCATCAAAATAAAATTATGACGTTTCGACAGGTAACTTTGCACCTTCTCGCATGCAATCTTGGGCTGGCGGGAAGGAAAACACAACTCATTAGATGACATACCTAAGCACACACGTTGTACCCCGCCCACTGCCCTCCGTGAACCCCCTCCTTACTAAACTATTACAATAGTTTCAATAGAGATTTATATCGACTTCCTTCAGATCGCTTTAATTTATAGATTTACCATATTGCTTTTATTAAATCACTTGGCATTAATTCATTAAACCACGCATTCCTTTATAATATTCCATTAACGAAATCAGACATTTCTTCACAGAGTACATGTGATTCAGTAATATTCTCATACAACCTGCCATTTATGTTTCTATTCTATCCCAGTGTTAATTAATATTCCACCCCTTCAGTTATTGACTGATTTATGTCAATATATATAATTAACAACTGATTAACGTATATGCCTACATATTCATATTACTTCATGCATTAATAACATGATTATTATCAATAATGCAATCTACTCACAGGTTTAAGGCCAACTGTAGATTGCGACAAGGTCGCGAGATGTAAATAGGGTTAGGGTA